CGGGGGGTTTGCACACACGCTGCTTCACCAGGAATCCCAGACCACCCACTCTGCGCTTGAAAAGGCGCACAGAGATGATGTTGGGCTGGAGCTCACACACACTCACCTCTGTGTCTTGCATGGTGATGCCGCTCTGTGCAGTAACACCACTCTGCAAATATGCACAAAAAACATGAGATTTTACGCACGTCTATTAAAATTGGGTCTCTTTTTGATTGATTTTTCAAAGCAGCATATCTGTCTGAGCAGCTTATTCATATATGAGAGTTTGGAAAAATTCATGGACACGCCGGGGAACTTTATGGATTGTACAGAGAGGACTACTGCACACTGCATGCTACATCTCTAAGAAGCAGGAATGTCATTGCATGATTTAGAAATGCGTAGAAGATTTGACACATTGGATGCTTTTTCCTCCTGAGAGAAATGCAAATCATCCCCCTATTATAGTACAATTATGGGCATTTTTTTTTTTTAATTAAAAAAAAAAAAACTTTCTCTGAGAGTCCATGAGCCATGCCCCTGCATCAGGGCACAGCTGGCATAATCCTGAACATATCCAAAAGTCTGTGACCCACTGCTTATCTGCAAAAGCAATAAGTGGAGACGCTGTGGCACTTCTGCTGTGGTCCAACACATAAGCAACAAATAACCTACTTTAAAACAGGCTTTCACACACTCTCCAGGCTCCCTACTTAACCTCGACAATAAGTTTGAAGAGAAATATGAATAATCACAATAATCCATGATGCACAGTGAAGACAAAATACCCAGATGGCTCAACAATTCTGAAGAATAAGCCTGATGAGTCTGGCAGTTTGCTCAGTGATTAATCAAATTAACACCAGTGCATGTTAGGAGCATGGTGCTCTCAAGAAATGATTATGATTGTGTGGTTTTGTTTTTTGTTTTTTTTTAAGGAAATTTGGTTAAAATGGTCATCATTAAGCCATGCTCTGATTTGATTCAAAGATCCGTCTGGCATTTTTATGTAACACTGACTTGTGTAATCTCTCCTAAAGCAACAAGTGCACGCGAAACCATCATGCCTGTATAACTAAAAAAAAAAAAAGAAAGAAAGAAAGAAAAATACAAAAACTTTCACATATATGCACAAACAAAATCGATAAGCTAAATGCACGCACAGATCACTAATGCACGAGCTCTTTCTGGAGCTGAAGGCGCGAACTGCACGCGCACTGTCGGTATTTTTTATTCCCCCCCTGCCCTCCCTCGCGAAAGGAATCAACAGGAGCGCGCGCGCACAGCGCAAAGTTGCGTCTCCATCGCAATTATGAGTCTGGCAGCATGACACATTTTAAACCAACTAAAGCTACTCATCACGTACCATAAATTTTAAAAAAAAAAAAAAGCAAGAAAAAAAAAAAAGCAGGAATATTAAAAAAAATATGCGTATAAGCTTACCGTTTGGAAAACGCGCGCGCAGCTCCTGAGCTGTGTGTGGTGTGTGTGCGTATGTATGTGTGTTATGTCTTCTCTCCTGAGTCCTCAGTCCTCAGTGTGTGTGTGAGAGAGAGTTCCGCTTGTTTGTAGTGTGAGTCCCGTCAGAACAGCAGCCGCAACAGCATCCTCCGCAAATACGGAGCGCACGCGAGAGAGAGAGAGAGAGAGAGAGAGAGAGAGAGAGAGAGAGAGAAGAGGGGGAAAAACGACTGCACGGTGCACCAGCGCCGGTTTTTATCTCCCGTCATCACCGAGCTCCCCCTCCCTCTCCGCTCCAATTAAATGGCGACTTGCGTTACTGCACACTTTTTTTTTTTGCATGCATTTGCACACCTGCTCTCCAACAAGAGCGCATAACCTAACGCGTGCCGTGTCACGCGCGCTGTCCCATAAGGCGGAATAAAACATGCACGTTGTGTCAGAGTATGCAGAACAATCAAATATGATGATACAAGTGTACATCAACACTCATTGGTAATCATGTGACCTACAGGGCAGTTTGAGTGCAGCTGTAACACTTGCATTGCTACACAACGCAACAGTCACTGCAGTTGTCAACAATACATAACACTTGTGTAGATTCTGTAAGGTGTTTGCTACACATTTGCTTTAATTGTGCTCATGTTACTCATTTGGCCAAAGTATAATATCCCTCACTGTATCCGTGTATATCCTGGTCAGGGTTGTGGAGAATCCAGGGAACACTGGGCATGAGGCAGGAATCTACCCTGAATGGGACTACAGTCCATCACAGGGCACCACGCATACACACATCCACACACTCATTCACATCGAGGGACAATTTAGGTCGTTTTCACACGAAGTGTGAACGCAGTTTTCCAGGTCCAGGCATCTGATCCACAGATCTCCGAAAATGGTGGTCTGGAGTTTGCTTCAACTCAACTACATCACGTGTGGAATCTATCACACGTAAAATATAAATGCAATCAGTTCAATTTGTCACGTAACTCACTGGTACTAACTGTGATTCCAGGGAAAGAGCTGTTATTGTTATTCATAGATAAAACTAGACATTCATAGGACTGGAGCGACATGTATCTCATGCCAGCCTGCTTTATACGAGATCAGCTTCACGTTTGAAGTACTCCTGCACAATGATATGACATGCATTTAAATAGTTCTGTTCTTCACTGCTTGAGTGTTGGTAACACAGAAAAATAGTAATGAAAACAGCAAATGGATGAACCTAGTGCTTAGCGTGGATACCTGCATGCACAAAAGTGAGGTGAGTTGTGCAATCGATGCTCGGTTCGGAACGAATTCTTCTATGTGAATGTAAAGCTGCAATTATGAGCCCCACCCTGCAGACGAGCCCAGAATCAGTCCTGAGCGAAGACTCGAGTACGATAACACCTTTAGAGTAGCCGATCCACCTACTGGCATGTTTTGGGAAGTTGGAGAAAGCCGGAGAACCCAGAGCAGACCCACGTGGACTTGAGGAGAACATGTGATACTCCACACAGACAGTAACCCGAGCTCAGGAACGAGCCAGAGACCCGGGGCCGTGAGCTATGAGGTGGCAATGATCCCCAGTGCACACTGGGTCACTCCACAGTATGATATCAGTGAAGTCAAATGTAACTATTTGTGATTTTATTTTATATTCCTTTTATGGAGATCGATTTTGTTGAAACAAAATCCGATCTTTCAGAGAAATGTGAGGAGATCCAAAACGTGGGTTTTTTTTTTTTTTTCATGTGCACTGACTACACTGATTTATCATCAAAGAAATTTTAACACCAAGCTAACACCAAGATATCAGCCTTCAAATTGCCTAACAGTACAGCTATAGTACTGGACATTAATAAGTTGACATTTACAATCCATGGTCCAGTTAGACTGCTTAAACCTGCTGTACATCTTGTTTATCTTGGACAGCTCACTCTCCAAGTGTAGCATGAGTTACACTACTTTACTGTTACAGCACCTGCCACTGATCAATGTCTGCTAGTCCCTGCAGGCTGTTTCCACACCATGTATTAAACAAGTCTGTTGAGTTCTTTTTTTCCCTTTGGTTTGTTTTTGCAGACAAACTCAAAAAACAGGAAAAAAAAAGTCACTCAGATTAAAATTGTAACATGACATCACTATTTTTTTTTGTTTTATACCAAGCAAGAGATATGCTGATTCAAACGGCAATCAGCATTCAATTTAGGTCACAATGACTCCCTCTTGCATTTATTTTTATCAACAAAAAAATAATAAATTTCACTTATTTTGTTTCAGGTGGTGCAAATTGGTTCAGGTCCAGATTTAAGACTGATGGCTGAAAATTCTAGGAACTGTTCAAAAAGTGCTTCTGCAATCAATTAACAATTATAAGAAAAGGCTTTTTTCTTCTTCTTTGTCAAAGAGATACATGATTATAAGCAGGTTTTATGTCCAAAGAGGCACTTTTTCTATAAAAAAAAAAAACTGGAATAGTGCACCATGGTGGCTAAGCTTTGTAGTTTACTAGGGAGTCCCTAACAGACCTCCTATTTCTTGTTTTATAAATATTACGCAGTCATAATCCTGTTAAATGCCTCCTGAAGTGCACTTGGTCCATGGTGGCCATGTTTTTCTAATTATCCCGAAAATATTGTACAAAAATTCAACCCAATTAAATAAGCAGTTCCTGAGAAACACTTATTTAAATACTGTAGAGTTCATGCTCTAATGATGAACTCACTTTTAACTCTGTCTTCTCACACATCACCTACAGTGTGTAACGATCACTTTTCCGTAAAAAAACCACGAACGCAGTTGTCAGTTATAGTTGTTTCAGTCAATCAAGCTTCTCTCCCAAAGGGTTTTCTTGCCTGTAGCAAAATATTTTTGATAGGTACTGAATTCAAAACCTTTTCAATATGATGAATATGATGAATATGGTGTGTCATTACGTTAAAATGTCAAACTCTGCGGTGAATTTCCCCTTTCTGTACAGGAGACTGAAAAAACAGAGTTAAAGAGTCCAAATGTCCTGTGTATTTGGTGAATGAATAGAAGGAAATAAAGAAAAAAAACGTGAATAACTCGTAGTTCAGGAGATTTATTGATCGAAACAGAGAATGGTAGGTTATAGCACCACTATCAGGCTGGCCCACGTTTCTTTATGCTCCTGAGTAGTTGCGGGAAAGTAGAACATTTCCACCAACATTTCCCGGTCTCTTAAATCCCAACAAAAAGATGATTCATTCCTGCATGTAACGTGATTCTGACTCACTTAGCACTGTTCAAAAAGAGATTTTATTTATTCATAAAACGCTAATTCAACAATTCTTTGCTTAACTTAAATATAATCGATCGGTTGTTTTCTTCACATACACACTGATTGACAAATCATGACTTTAGTATTATAAGAATCTTTTGAGACACTGTGCAAACAGTGATTTGAGTCGAGTGTGTGATATTGTAACTAAATAAAGCCAGGAGAAGAATTTCCAATGATAACATTTGGCAGATACCCTTATCCAGAGCAGCTCGCAATTATTTAAACAATCGAGAAGTTGCTCAAGGGCCCAGCAGAGGCAGCTTGGCAGTGCCGGGACTTGAACTCGTGACCTTCCGAGCAGAAGTCCAACAGCTTAACCACTGAGCTACCAGTTCCGTGGAAGTATGAGTGGAAGAGCAAAGCAGTGGTCAAACACAGTAATGGCCCTAATCATAGAAATAATGGGGCAATCAAGAGATAGCGAAACAATCAAGACACATACGGGAATCTGGGTAAACATGGCTCAGAACTTACTCAACAGGATATACTGGTAAGATTTTTCAGTACACATTTAAAAACTATGTGCTTCTATAGAACAGATCCAAGATGTAAACAGGACCTGAACAGATAGCATGATGGTAATTGGTGGTCATGGACTTGTAGCAAACACTTCTTAGCTGGCTGAGTTTCTTTGCTCTGAATCATCCATTTGGAGCGTGCAAGTGATGTTTGATTTTAGTTTTGTACGACTTCTAGTGTGTTTTCCTTATCTGGTGCTGCACACAAAGACCTTCCTGTCAGGGAAATGAGTATAGCATTGTGCACATCCAGATCAAAAGGAAGTGAATGACTTCATGGTGGAAATGTTTGGAGATTGGATTTTTTTTTTTTTTTTTTTGGTTTTCAACAGTCTCATTCTCTCCAGGTCGTTCTGGCATGTTCAGCTCGCTTGCTGTGGAATTTCTCTCGCCTCCGAGCTGTGAAGGTTTCTCAGCAGAGCTGCTTTTCTGTCAATCATCTTTTTTAAAAAAAAAAATCTCCCATGGGACTATCAGCATATTCACAGAGAGGGGAATGCAGCTCTTAATGAAAACAGCATCAGATCACACACACACACACACACACACACACACACACACACACACACACACACAGGACACGCACAGACACGCACTGATGCATAAACGACTACATACATTCACAAAGAGAGTTCAGAGATTACATGTACATGTACTTATTTGTCATGCAGATAGCAATCTAAGCTGAGCTTAGAGTCTACGCTAGTACGAGTGTCCGGTATCTGACACAAAACAGAAAAAAGACAGCTGCAGGGAGAACAGAGAGAGAGACAGAGGGAGAGAGAGACAGAGAGAGAGAGACAGAGAGAGAGAGAAAGATACTTAAACTGAAGTATGGATAAAGTGCTACTATTACTGAGAGTCTGTACATAATATAACTTTGATTTCAACAGTCAGTACCTAGTATTAATAGGTAAGTATGTCACGGTCACAAGTAAAGGGTGTATATTGTATTTTAAAGTGCATATTAGAGGCGTGAAGCGATGCCATTATCTATTTCTATCCAAATAATGCATTCGTATTCGGTTACAGTACTTTAATAATCTAGTAATGTCATGTATTATAATAATGTAAATAATAATAATAATAATGTAAATCTGTTATAATAAATGTCCGTAGGAGTTTTATTTCTCTTATACCACAGCAATTTTCCAGCGATTACATTTTTTTTTTTTTGTATTTATTAAAGAACAACACCTCACAGATTTATACACTCTTATTTATATTAAATGTTGCAAAACTAGTTAGCTTCTGTCATCGCTGACATTAACATAAGCAGCCGTTCTCTCAACAGCCTATTTTTCTGTCTCATGAAGGCAATAATAAAGAAGAATGCAGGTTGTCATGTCAGGACCTGCGTCAAGGCTTTTTTTTGTTTTGTTTTGTTTTAAATTCATGCGCACTTAAATATCCAGAACACACTGTTTGTAGGTAGCATACTGTAAAATGAATAATCATATTAGTATAGTATAGTTTCTAATAATAGTATTACACACTTAACAAACACCTAAAAAGACACACACACACACACACACAAACAGAGTGTCTGTTATACAATTCATAGTACACAAAACAACAGTTTCTTCAAGTATGGAGCACCAAGTAACAGAAATTGAGCAATATTTTGCCAGTCTCTTTGCATTTTATTTTTCTGTCCAGCTTATGAACATGCCCTAGGATCAGTTAGTATCAATAACTGACACCATGGGCTCAAATTTAAGCAGTTTGTTAGTAAAAACATGTCCATATACAAGTCAAATCAAGCTCAAGATTAGTTAAAAAAAAAAAATTCATAACACACAACATTATGAATAAAGATGTTTCACAAGCCAGAAGACCTAGACAAAACTAGCGATACCAGTGTGACAATAACACACGTAGAATGAAAACTGAAGATAGTATATTTGCATTTTGTTGAAATGTTGAGATTTTGTGTGTTTCTTAAAGATTTTATGCTTAAAATTGTTTCTTAAAGATTTTGGGTTTAAAATCTCCAAATTTATCCTCTTGCCTGAATCCTTGCTCCTTCACATCTGTTTTTACTGACAACCAAATACACACAGCATTTGACCATGGATATTTTCACTCTGTGACGTTAAAATACACACACACATACACACACACATACACACACACATACACACACACGCACGCACACACGCACGCACACATGCACACAAAGGCACAGATAGACGCATGGCCTGCTGGCTGGCCGTGTCATTATGTCAATCACTTCCGACTAGAGTGCTACCATCTGCCTCCCTAATGAAGCCACGCGGCCCCGATCACACACTCATTCTCTACGTCTCTCTCTCTCTCTCTCTCCCCTTTCTCTCTCTAACACACACGCACACATACACACACACGCAAGCACAAACTCATTCAATGCTGCCCAAACCCAGGACTTGTAGCTAGAATCGCAGCTGATACTATTTATACAGAGCATTTTTTTTTTTTGGCTTGGGCATGAAAGACAGAGTGAGAGATGAAGAAAGAAAAAAAAACTAAAGACATACAGAACGATAACGACTCAGAGGATGGCGCAGAACAAGCCTGACATGTAACGTGCCTCTGAACATCATACTCTGTCAGGTATTGTTAACAAAACACCTGCATTACACACCTTATTAATCATCTCTAACTCCTATTTCCCAACAGAGTTGTCTTCTATAATTATCCTCATTATTATATTTAATCGGTCAGAGGCGAGGAAAATTTATCTTTATCATTATTGGCCGAATACCTCTTGTTGCCATAGAAACATCGTTGCTTTCTTGCATTTAGTTCCCTCTCCAGTAATTTTTTTGTTGTGCTTCATGAGAACATGTGTATTTAGATTTATTTATAGGTTATAGAGAAATAAGTGCTATGCTTTACTTCAGTGCAGCTTGAAAGCGTAAAATGCAGCTTGCTATGTTATGACGAAACCCTGAAAAAGATTTTATGTGTCTGAAAATGTATAAAACAAAGTTACAGGTTTACCTCTAACTGTTAGAAAGCACTGAAACTGGAGACTCCTTCCAAAAATGCTAAATAAACATCTCCTTCCAGAAAGTCAAGTGAAGTGAAGTCATATTTGTGAAGCACATTTTAAAAAACAGCAAATGTTGACCAATATGCTGTCCATAAGATCATATAAAATCTTATGTAAAGTTTTTAAAATAAAGTTGATAAAACTGTGAAAGTTTCGCCATTTCAACAGTGAGACATGTTTTTTGAATTCTGTTTATGTGGATCGTCGCCCATACAATTCCCCGTGTAAGCTGTTACTACAGAAACGATAACGTATTAGAAGGAGCGCATCAACATCATTTGAATTACAGCTGGAGCTACTGTCAGACCTTTTGACCAATCAGAAATGAGAAGTCCGCAGCACTGCGGTATAAGTATGAGATACCACCCAAAGATGTCTCTCAGAAAGGATGTACGCCAAGATTACTTACTACTGGTTTTAAAAAGTGTTTTTATGTTATCTACTTACTCATTGCAAACAGCAACTCCATTTTATTGAACGAACTCAGCCTACATCACATATCAATAGGCAACCGTTTTACAACTGTTGCTATGGTTACATTTTGGAGGTCATTATTTATGGACATTGCCATGGTTAGGTTATACTTATGTAGTATCAGGAGCATTGTTATCATTATTCTTGGCATTTCCTGTAGCCAGTTTCTGTGTTAAACCTGCCTCCCGTCCAGGGTGTATTCCCGCCTCGTGTCCAGTGTTCCTGGGATATTCTCCAGATCCACCTCAACCCTGACCCAGAAAAAAACATGGTAACTGGAGCACGCTTGCGTGTGATGTGAATTGTCATGGCATCAGATATTATGGCAGCTATCATGACAATTACATACTAACATGACACTCTTAGATTACCGGAAATAACTTGTCATGACAGCCTATGGCAGCCTATCGGTCACTGCACGTTTACGTTGTCAGAGTTACAATATTAGTAATAAAATAATCATCTTTATTTATATAGCATTTGAGATTGACTCCACAATTGTAAATTAAAAGTATAGAAACAAAATATTTATGATAAAGCACATAAAAGAACCATATATACAACCGACAATATTCTATGAGAAGTAGAATAATGATGGAAAACTGTGCAAGCAGGAAAAACGGTTCTTATTTCATTTTACATGAAGCTCGCTGAAAGAACTAAACTCTATTATCTAAAACTTCTCACCCCCAGCACCAGCATCAACACTCTAAAAAGCTGTCTCACTTATCGCATCAATACTTCAAAAAAATCATCAGACCCATTTCCACAATTTAACTAAAATGATGGAAAGTAACTGTAGTCATTGAACAGTGTGTGTGTGTGTGTGTGTGTGTGTGTGTGTGTGTGTGTGTGTGTGTGCGTGTGTGGAGATTTCATAATCTGCAAGCATCAATGAATGGAAAAAGAACTGAGACACAGGGATAATGGCATCAGTATGTGGTATACCTGTCAGGGATTCCATATAAACAAAGATATAAGTTGTCCTGAAGAAACCTGACAACATATAATATGATTTTTACACCGTGACTGCAAGGAAGAGGGGGAATGGTGGCTTGGTGGTTATCTGGGGTTGTGGGGTTCGAATCCCGCCTCTCCCCTGTGTGTGCAGAGTTTGCATGTCCTCCCTGTGCTTAGGGGGTTTCCTTCGGGTACTCCGGTTTCCTCCCCAGTCCAAAGATACGCAGTGTAGGCTGATTGGCATTTCCATTGTCTATACTGTGTGCGTGTGTGTGTATGTGTGCGATTGTGCCCTGTGATGGGTTGGCTCCACGTCCAGGCTGGCCCCCACCTTGTGCAGCGGGTTCCCT